TATGTATGTAAGTGGGTAGATAGACAGACAGACAGACGAAGAAAAATCGATGTGTAGACAGAGTATGTGTGGATAGTTAGTGTGTGTGTAGACGGATAACTGGGTGGGTCAATGGCGATAGACAGACAGACAGACATAGATGGGATAGGTAGATATAGATGGGTGGGTAGATAGATAGCTAGATATAGATCAAAGGTGGTCAGCAGGTTTTGACAAGTTCTGTAGAACTGGTAGCAGAAATTATGAGTAGTTCGGAGAACCGGCAAATACCATCTGATTGGAGATTTTATAGTGTCCTTCCCCTGCCACGCCTACCAAGCCACGCCCACAGAACCAGTAGTAAAAAAATTTGAATCCCACCACTGATTAGATAGACAGATAGATAGATGATAGATAGATAGATAGATAGATAGATTATATATATATGGTATTCAGCTTTGTTCGGGTATTTTCCCACATCATTATAGTTGTGCTTTTAAAGTTGTAGCAAAGTTTCAGCAGAATCTCATCTTCCATCCTCAGGCTTCTGTATCATCAGGTTTCTGTATCAGACGAACACAATACAGAAGCCTGATGATGGCAAATGAGATTCTGCCGAAATGTTGCTACAACTTTAAAAGTACAACTATAATGACGTGGGAAAATACCCGAACAAAGTATATGTGTGTGTATGTGTGTGTGTAAAAAACTTTGAAAAAAAACTGAAACAACTGTAAAAGTCTGACTCACAGACGAACACAATACAGAAGCCTGATGATGGCAGGTGAGATTTGCTTGTTCATGGCTTGGCATCTTAGATGAACCAATTACGGCTCAGTTCAGGAACACCCCCTCCCCCACCCCAAACTGTAGAGAAGACGCTCACTGGATCAGCTTCTGCCCCTGCAGGACCGTGTGTTCTTGCAGCATCTCAAAGTTGTATTTTTCGTCGGTAGCGTGCTGATCGATGATGAAGAGGTCCGATTTCAGCTTGGCAATGATAAACCCCAGATTAAACTGGCCAACGATGTCCATTTTAGCAAACATCTCTTTCCTGCACGCAGAGGGAGAAACCCATAAAGACATAGATGGTCAGAGCTGCCTGTTGTTTAAAGCCTGGGTCCCCCCCCCCCCCAATTCACTTAATACCAGTGACACCCCCCCTCAAAAAAATGTTGCAAAATTAGGTGCGACTCACTGGAAGACCGCATGGCTTCGGCAAGGAAGTTCAAATCCCAATTGTGATCGTATGTCAAGGACTGTAGAATCACTCAGGGCAAAGGTTCCCCTCACACCTACGTGCTAGTCATTTTCGGCTCATCTTCATGACAAAGCCGAAGAGCCAGCGCTGTCCGAAGACGTCTCCATGGTCATGTGGCTAGCATGATTCAATGCCAAAGGCACACGGAGGAACGCTGTTCCCTTCCCACCAAAGGGGTCCCTATTTTTCTACTTGCATTTTTACATGCTTTCGAACTGCTAGGTTGGCAGAAGCTGGGACAAGTAACGGGAGCTCACTCCGTTACGTGGCACTGCGGATTCGAACCGCCGACCTTTCTGATCGACAAGCTCAGCGTCTTGGCCACTGAGCCACCACGTCCTTAATTAGGGACATCCTATAAATCTGTCAAGTAGTTCTCCACTTACAAATATTTGTTATAGTGACCATCAAAGTTACAATGGCAGTTGAAAAAAGTGACTTATGACCGTTTTTCACACAAATTCGGATGCTTGGCAACTGGTTCATATTTACGACAGTTGCAGTGTCCCAGGGGGGTCATGTGATCCCCCTTTTGTGACCTTCTGACATGCCAAGTCAATGGGGAAGCTGGATTCACTTAACAACCATGTGACTCAATAACTGCAGGGATTCACTTAACAGTGGTGACAAGGTCGTACAATGGAGCAAAACTGCCTTAACAATTAATCTCGTTTAGCACCAGAAGTTTTGGGCTCCATTGTGGTCGTAAGTCGAAGACCACCTGTGTGAATCTTTCTAAATGTAAGACAAAAGAATAAACAAAGATACGAAGGTCGCATCAGCCAACAGCATTTCTGGGAACGCCTCTCTTCTCTGGCGAAGAGAGGCGAGTCGCCATACCTTATTTCCTTTCTTAATTCATCCTCCGCCATTTTGTTTTCTTCCGGGCTAATCTTTGCCTTGAATTGTCTGAATTTCAACATTTCTCCTTCGGTCTCCTGGCGCTTAATTTGCCTCTGGATCCGGTCCGTCAAGGTGCTCCAAGAGAAGGCTAAAGGAACCGTCCTCTTTTCCATTTTGACCGGGATGTCGTACAAGGGCTGTGCGCCAGAATCCTGCTCAGGGGTTGCCGCTGATAAATTGGCTTTTGGTGAAAGAGACTGAAGGCTCTTAAAACGTTTTGCTTTAGGGGGTGAAGTGGCTCGTTGAGAGAAGCCACCTTCTTCACTCTGGTTTGGTTCGGAGGGGCAGGAAAGGCCGCTAGATCCACATTCGCTGCTCTGGATTTCTGCGCCCAAACAACGGGACTCTCGATTGGAAGAACCCGCAGTGCTTTCGGCTCTAAAATGGACGCCCGTTTCTGGGGTGCTCAAACCCCCATCAGACTCGGCGGAGACGCTCCCCAAACCAGAGTCCGTATCTTCATTCGATTTCTCCAACTTCCTGCCTGCAAACATGGAATCCCTTGAATCTACCTTGCTTCCGTCTTCAGATTCCTCGTTGGGAAGAATTTTCTTTCGGGGGGAGGCGGAGAAAGCGGCAAACATCTGGAACATTCCTTGGTTGGTGGGCCTGTGTTTTGGTTGTGCCTTTTCGGTCTCCTGAAAAGCAGAGGTTTTCCCTCGAGAAAAGGATTCCTTCAGACGAGCAATTATTTCTGATTTCTCACCCTGATTTGGAGGCAAAGGACTGGTAGACGATTCCAAAGGAGACACTTCTTTCTCGTTTCGGACGAAGCTTTTCAAGTTCCCTGCCAAAAAGAGAGAACCGTTGTGATTTGCTAAGTACAGATTGTCCTCGACTTATGCCCTCAATTGAGCCCACAATTTCTGTTGCTAAGTGATTCCCCCCACCCCCTATTTTAAGACCTTTCTTGCCACAGTTGCTAAGTGAATCACTGCAGCCGTTAATTTAAGTGAATCTGGCTTCCCCATTGACTTTGCTGGTCAGATGGTTGCAAAAGAGGCTCACGTGACTTTGGGACCCTGCCACCGTCATAAGTACGAGTCAGTTGCCAAGTGTGTGAATGTCAACTCAGAAGCTGACCTGACCGAAGCCATTTTTTAGGCTTCAGTGTTGCCACACTGGAGCTGAGGGAGACAGAGGGAAGAATAAAGATAGCTGGTAGCTGAAACAAAATACTTTCTCCTGGGAACCAAGGACATTTCCGCAGGTGGTTGGAGAGAGGAGCAGCAATGTTACCAGGCAACCAGACAACACTTTGATTGGACCATGTGACTGATGGTTTGGAGAAGGGGAAAAACGTTTACTTTTAATTAGGTGAAACTTCAGACTCGGTTTTCGCCAGCCTGTGCCAATATGATATATCCAATAAAAATTACATAAATATATATATATCATAAAATTCTGCCCTGCCTTCTTCCACAAGGAATAAAATAGAATAGAATTCTTTATTGGCCAAGTATGATTGGACACACAAGGAATTTGTCTTGGTGCAAATAGCTTATAAGCTTCCAGCTAGCTAATAAGAGGAAAATCTTAGCTATTGTTACCTGACTGTCTAAAATAATGCAAATAAATAAATAGGTTTTGCTTAAATGGCAACTTGACTTCCTACCTTCAACATAGGTCAACTTTTGATTCACCACCAATTTATTAACGTCACTGCCAAACATCGCCATCAGTGATGTTTTCAGAATTGCTAATAAAAGCTTCTCTTCCTGGAGCAAGATCTGCCTTTTATCCGGAGTCACGTTGATGTCCACGCATCCTGAAATCAAAAACATTCACCATTCTTTGGTTATCTTTCTCTTTCTTCGCACCTACGGATGGGCTCCACCGTTCGGGCTCATTATGATAACTAGGTACTCCTCATCGGAATGTTATGATAATAATTAAGCAGGCTAAATTACCCTAATTTACAAAATATACAGCAGCGAACGATGATGACAATTTATAAAACTCACCAGATTCTGCACAGATGTTAAGAACAATGAATGGATATTGGTGCCTATTATACATATGATAGACCTCATTTACAACTTTGGAAACCTGTTCAGAAAACAGAAAGAAAAAACAACACACGTTAGTTGAATTTGGTTGAGATTTAAAAAGATATAAAGGCTCTTGAATCATCTTCATTTAAAGATCCCATAATCCCGTGAAGGCGAACCTATGGCATGTGTGTGCCAGAAGTGGTGTGCAGAGCCATCTCTGCTGGCACGCAGGCCGTTGCCCCGGCTCAGTTCCACTACATATGTGCACGCACCTCCTGCCAGCCAGCTGATTTTCGGGTATCTACCACACATGTGCAGGGGGCGTGTGCGGGAGATGAGTGTGCATGCACAGGGGGAACACGGGGGTTTGCATGTGCATGAGCAGGGGGCGGGGGAACACGGGGGGTGTTGTGCATGCATTGCATTATGGATGCAGGCACACATGTGCAAAGGTTAGCCATCACTGCCATAATCCCTTGCAGGGCGGAGTCTGGGCAACTGAACGGAGCTAGCAAAGTGTTTTAGTGGCCAGATGCCGTTCCCTGTTGCCAATGCGGAGTTTTGTTCAGCTGATATATTCTCAATGTTCCCAGAAAGAGAGAAAGAAGTATCTGCTTCTACCTAGGATCGAACTCACAGCCTCCTGATTGTGAAGCAAGAGCTCCACCTCCAGGCTACCGCACTATTCCAAGCGAGGGTCTTGACTGGCAGAGTGAATTTTTTTTTTTATAAATTGAGAATTTACCCCTGCAGGAGAAAAACATACCTTTCCGGGGTCGCATGGCCGCTGGTTAATAAAAAAGTACTGCCTATCCGTTGTGCTCCTCCCATCGCCATGATTGCATTGTGAAACAAATCCTGTGATGCTGTTTAAAAAGGAACGTGTCATTAAGAGAGTCCCATAAAAACAAAGTAGACCGAAAAAAGTCATTTGACGTATTTTAGAAGGGAATCTAAACCAACTTGGAGAAATTCTCCCCTGCGCTAGCTCAAGACCATCGTATAGAAGCAGTCCTTGACTTACAACCGTAACGGAGTCGTCCGGTTATGGCTGCAAGTCGTGTCGGTCATAAAGGAGATCATCATGTGACCGACCTGATTTGACAACCTTTTTTTTTTTTTTTTGCAGTGGGGTGTTAAGCAAATCGGTATAGTCTTTAAGTGAATCAATGGTCATTAAGCAAACCCATTGTTTGCTATAGGCCTTTTTTGCTGGAAACCAGAAATGAACAAGTTTTTCAACAAAAACGCCATAAATGGTGGTCCAGAACGCTGGAAATGGCCATAAATGCAGGGCAGTTGCAGTCCGTGACACTGGGGTGGAGGTATAACCATTAGAACTACATCATAATTACCTTTGGGAGGGGTCTCTCATAATTTCAAACCGTTGCTAAGCAACTGATCATAAGATGAGGACTACTTGTATTGTCCTTTTTATATGTGGTATATGCTAGGGATGCGGTGGCTCAGGGGATAACATGCTGAGCTTGTTGATAAGAAAGGTCGGCAGTTCGGCGGTTCGAATCCCTAGCGCCGCGTGATGGAGTGAGCTCCCGTTTCTTGTCCCAGCTTCTGCCAAGCTGGCAGTTCGAAAGCACATAAAAAACGCAAGTAGAAAAATAGGGACCACTGTGGTGGGAAGAAGGGAACAGTGTTCCGTGCGCCTTCCGCATTTAGTCATGCCGGCCACATGACCACGGAGACGTCTTCGGACAGCGCTGGCCCTTGGGTTTTGTAACGGAGATGAGCACCACCCCCTAGATCTGGGAATGACTAGCATGGACGTGCTAGGGAAACTACCTATGTTGTATATACGTTGTGTCCGGTAGCCCTGGATCTCTGGTTTTTAAGCCCAAATGAACAACAACAAGAAAGAATACAAATATATATATATATATATTTCCAATTTTATACTTACGTATAAAGCTTAGTGGGCAGAGCAGAAACATTCAAGCCGTATTCTTCGCAGACTTCTTCGCTGGGCAGCAGCTGTACAAAGGGAATCAGGGTTTGCACCTAGGAAGAAAATAACAACCTATATTGAAACTGACTCCCCAGGCCTTTTAATTTGCAAACCACCCTGCACCATGCCAGAATCAAACTAACCACATGACGAGGGGTCCTAGGTGCTCTTCTGAGCTTGTTTTCTTGCAGGTGTTTCATCACCCAAATTAGCCAATCCCATCAGCCCTGTTCCTTTACCTGTTTGTGTCCAAATATGGCACTGATGTTTTCTTTTAAAGTAGAACTTCCGCTGGTGGACACCACAGCCTGTTTCTTCCCTTGGCCAACTTGGTTGGTGCAGTTAATTCGAACCCCAGTGCAAATGATACAATACGCTTGCAGTATCTGGACCATTTTGGCAAACTCCTTTTAGGTGTGGAAAAAGAGAGAGAGAAAAGTTACACTCCTTTGGGTGTGTCAGAGGGGAAAAAAGGTGATTTGATCAGATCTTTATTATGATCAAAGACCAGCCTATATTCTATAGGGAGTGCCCCTAGCTGTTTGAGAACATGTATTTTCTTAACAGGGATGTTTTTATCCACCATTAATGTATTATAACGTGTCAGTACTTTTTTATATATATTGCAAATAGCGATGTCTATTGCTGGTCTAAGACCATAATAAAGTTATATTCTATTCTCTTCTTCTTCCTGCCCGTGTTAATAACGAGCTGACTGGTTCTTACCTTCTTTATGTTACGCTGAAATTCTTTGTGTCGAACCGGCAAAGTATGAAACAGCTGCTGGACACTGACGGTGGTCCCCTGTGGCCGGGAGAATGGGACTCTCCGAGTGATCTTCCCGCTGTGATCAAACTCCAGCCGGGTCCCAATATTGGAAGACTTGTGACAAGTGACAATGGAAACATTGCTGTGTGCAAAGGAATGCAATTTCATTTCAGCTAATGCAATCCTAAGTTGTATTAACAGAGGGATACAGTCAAGATAAGGGAAGTACTAATACCACTCTATATAGCCTTAGTAAGGCCACACCTAGAGTACTGCATCCAGTTTTGTTCACATTATAAAAAAGATGTTGAGACTCTAGAAAAAGTACAGAGAAGAGAAACCAGGATGATTAGGGGACTGGAGGCTAAAACATACAACGAACAGTTGCAGGAACCGGGCTTGGCTAGTCTAGTAAAGAGAAGGACCAGGGAAGACAGGATAGCAATCTTCCAATATTTGAGGGGCTGCCACAGGGAGGAGGAAGGGGTCAAGCTATTTTCTAAAGTGCCTGTAGGCCAGACAAGGAATAACTCTCGGTATTTCAACCGACCGGCTGGCCCTGCCCACCCGTCCCCTCCCCTCCCCGGAGTCTCCATGTGGCCCATTTTGGATGTAGGTAAGTGTAGGGTCTACATGGAGGCTCTGGGAGGGGGGAAAATGGGCCTTCTGGAAGTCTGGAAACGGGCCTGTTTCCAGTTTCCTGACAGCTTCCAGGGTCCAGGAGAGGCTGTTTTCGCCCACCCAGAGGCCCGGGGGAAGGCCTCTGGACCACTGGGAGGGTGAAAAATGGCCTCTTCCGGGCTCTGGAGGCCCACTGGAAGCCAGAAACAGGAAGTTCCAGTAGGCCAGGCCCACCATGGCCACGCCCACCCAGCAACTGGGCAGCGAACCAGATTCTGTGCCATGGTTTCTCCTTGGTCTTCCTTCCTGAGATTCATCAATTGTTTTAACTAGCATGCTTCTCACCTGAACACACTTCTTACCTTAATGCGCACAAAGAGCTCAGAGCTTCACCTCGAAAACCAAACGTTTCCACGTTGATGAGGTCAGAGAAGTCTTGGATCTTGGAAGTATAATGCTTCAGCGCTGGAAGAGATATTTGACAGAGGTGAGAAAAGGGATGGGCCAGGAGACAGGGATTCTCTAGGCTGGCTCCCACATTACGGGTTAGGTTGATGCCAAGGGTTCATTGCCTCCCACTTATTTACTGGTTCAATTCAGACAGCACTGAAAATTATATATATATTTTAACCAGGCTGTGGCCCCTAGCAAGGAACAAGTTATGACTCTTTTAATTTTCCTACTTGTTTCGGAGGAGGAAAAGGTCACTAAATGATCCTTATTGTACTGATGATTTTGGACCCTATCAGGGTCATCTGACTGGGTGGTGTGGAAATGCTGCAAAAAGATAGGGAACCGTGTGTTCGCTCCCTCCTCACACTCTCACAGCATTGTAAAACCGTGCAGAAATGTTGTAAGATGATGCTAATCCTAGCACATTTTGAAACACTTTATATTTAGTTTTAGGAATGCGTAAGGCTTTGTGGTTTGGGGTACCCAGGTTTCCAAACTTTGCATTATAAAAAAACAGGTCCAAGAGGTTCAAATATCTTACCATACAAAAACAGTTGCCTTTTTTAAAAAGATGGGATAAAAGTAGTTCTTTGTGGAAGAACTAACGTATTAACTGTAAATAATATTACAAATTAATAGATTTAGATTTAGACATAGAGATACAGCATACTCAAGCCTGCAAAGTTATCCTCTTCTACGCCACAACCATTATCAGAGACTTCAATAAGACCCGTTCCATAATCTTTAAGCTTCACTTCTATAAATGAAACAAAAATCATGAAGATTAAATCTCTACAATTTTCTGTCTTCTTCCCTCCAAACACCACTAGAGAGTAATAGCATGACTAAAACAGTCTTGAGTTACTCTAAACTTTAAAACAACAAGTAACTGACCGACGTTAGTAGCGCCAGCATCGAGGCTGTTTTCCACCAGCTCTTTTACAGCAGCACATAGATTCAGCACCACTTGGCCTGAGCAGATCTGATGAACTGATCTGTGATCGATTGGCTTGATAGTTTTTTCCACTCTTTAAAAAAGGAAAATAACAAAGCTTTACACTCAGAAAATATCGCAGTTCACAGGACTGTAGTCGGTGGTTTCGTTTCACTTCTGCTTTCAGACTGTAAGGTTATACCTTCCTTCTGAAACAGGTTTTAAACAGCTCTGAAAGGCAGCTTTGGTGGATGAGCAAAATGTTGTGTCTTAAAACCAAATTGCACAATTCACTTTCCTCCGAGCTATGCTGCAGGAAAAAAACCTTTGCAGACATTTGTCCAAAGTGCTTGTTCTGTGTATGTGTGTGTAACTATGTGTAAACCACCCAAGTTGCCAGGAGTCAAGCAGCATATAAATTTAATACTAAAAATAATTTTAAAAGAGTGATTCCTATTTACAAGAAGTCAGACTTTATAGTTTCAGTCAATTTGGTCTAGCAGTTAAAACGTCAGGCAAGAAACCAGGAGGTGGTGAGTCTGATGTCCTGCCAGAGTCCTGCCAGTTGGGCGGCTTTGGCTCCATTTCAGCCCAACCCACCTCAAAGGGTTGTTGTGGGAAAAACAGGAGGAGGAAGGAATACTGGGTATGTCCGCTGCCTTGAGCAATTTATGAAATTAATAAAGGTGGGCTATAAATAGAATAAAAATAATAATAAAGTAATGCAATGCAATGCAATGCGATATATACACTTATACTGACATTCCATTCCAAGTAAAATAACAATAAAATCAAGCAATGCAATGTAATAAATACATTTACACCGAAATTCCATTCCAATTAAAATAACATAATTAAAATAAAGCAATGCAGTAAATACACTTGCACCAAAATTCCATTCCAATTAAAATAACATCAAATAAGACTAAAATAAAATAAGGCAATAAATACACATGCACTGAAATTCCATTCCAATTAAAATAACATCAAAGAATCTAAAATAAAGCAATGCAATAAATGCACTTACACTGGAGGAGCTTCCATTCTCTTTCCTGATGCAATTTAACCCTTTGCTGCCTGCTCACTTTTCAAACGAAGTATGCAAATGGCATGCAAATGAGCCTAAAGGGGCGGCCCGGTTTTTCCCCCGCCCATTTCCCCGTCAATCGATTTCACGGGCCGGAGCCCCCAACTCCCTTCGGGGCGCCCACAGTTGGGTCGCCGCGCTTCTTCCCGGGCGAGCCAGGCTCGCTTCCTTCCGCGCATCCCTCCGGTTCCCCAGGCTCGCGATGTCTTCTGGGTAGAATTCTTCTCCTCCAATCACCGGGGAGAAGCTTTCTCATTGGTCCATCGACGCACCAATCGGGGAGGAGAGGAAGGTGGAGCGGAATCTTAACGAAGCTTAGTATATAGGGGAAGGGGGTCGGTGTGAACAACCAACGCTTCGGGTATACCATGGAACCCAATATTCTCATCCCCAGATCCTGAAACGTGCAAAGCAGTATTTCTCAAGCAACTTTTCCTTTGGTTCTTTGTTTATTTTCTGGAGCTGTGTTCACAAGAAACGCTGACCTGGTTTTCTGAATTCACCTGTTTCATGGCATATGACTTAAGTGCCAGGGCTCATTGTAACAGCATTGCCCAAAAGGCATTAAGAGTTGTAAATCAAATCTTACAAAGCTTCTCCTCTAGAAATATAGAATTGCTAACTAGGGCGTACAAAACCTTTGCTAGACCAATACTGGAATACAGTTCATCAGTCTGGAATCTGCACTGTACATTGGACATTAATACAATTGTGCGAGTCCAGAAGTATTTCACAAGAAGATTACTACACTCCTCTGCTTGCAACACAATACCCTACACCACCAGGGTTGAAAGTTTGGGCTTGGACAACCTTGAACTACGCCACCTACGGTTGGACTTAAGTGTAGTACACAAAATTATCTGCTACAATGTCCTACCAGTCAATGACCACTTCCGCTTCAACCACAACAATACAAGAGCACACAACTGATACAAACTCAAAGTAAACCACTCCAAACTTGATTGCAGAAAGTACAACTTCAGCAACAGTGGTCAATGCCTGAAATGCACTATCTCACTCTGTTGTTACATCCTCAAACCTCCACTCCTTCAACCTCAAACTATCCACTATTGACCTCACCCAGTTCCTAAGAGTTCGTGTGAGGGGTGTGCACAAGTGCACAATCGCGCCTACCGTCCCTGTCCTATTGTCCCCAATTATTTGTACCTTACTCTTATTATTACTCTCCTCCTCCTCCTCTTCTTCTTCTTCTTCTTCTTCTTCTTCTTCTTCTTCTTCTTCTTCGTAGTAGTAGTAGTAGTAGTAGTAGTAGTAGTAGTAGTAGTATTCTTACTCATGTTCATACTTATATCATCTTGTAAGTGATTGACAAATCAAATAAATAAAATAAAATTTAAAAAATTCTCTCCCCAGTATCTCAGAGTCCTCCACCTACTTGGAGAGGAGGCGAAGTTAAGCCTAGCAGGAGCTTTAGAGGCGTCCGCTGAGCCTTCCTCTCCTGACCCCCAAGAAACGTATCTGGATAGAAGCCCCCCCCCTTCCCCTCATGAGGCATAGCTTCGCTTTTTAACCCGAAGTCTAAGGTCAAGAGCTGCTTCACCCGCCTTCTACACCCCCACCATCCCTTTGGAGCTTGCATCAGCTGGCAGCAAAAAGACCGCACGCGGCCGACGGGGGAGCCCCGCCTCTTTCGGCCAATAGTCTTGGCGGCCGTGGCAAGCCGCCAATGGGAGGCGGGACGGGCGGGGCGTCAGGCAAGGGCTCCTCCAATGGGAGGCGAGTGGGTGCGCCGGCGCGTCAGCGAGCCGTGGCATGAGGAGAAGCGGCGGTGAGGCGGCCGCGATGCCGATGTACAAGGTGAGGCCCTTTCAGGACGGCTCCGGCCCGGCGGTTCTGGCCGAGCACCTCCCCACCTGCATGTACCGCGTGCGCTGCGCCCACCGCCCGGCCGAGGTCAACGGGGACTCCGGCCTTGCCTCCTCGCCGCCGCCGCCTCAGCAGGTAGGAGCCGCTCGGCCCTGCGGCGCCTCACTTGGACCTGGGGATGGGGGTGGTTGACGGGCAGGCCGCGCTCCCTGGTCCCCCAAGACCGCCCTGGAAAGGTTTCCGCCTTCGGACTAACGTTCCCATCCTCCCCGGCCCCCGTTTTCTGCCCCGCCCCAAGCCACTCCCCCCTTGGATTACACTCCCCATCCTCCCCGATCCCCCTCCCCCGTTTTCTTCCATGACCCTATTCGGACTACAGTCCCCATTCTCTTCACTCCCCGGTTTTCTCCCTGCCTCAAACCATTCTTCCTTCAAACTACAATCCCCATCCTCCCCAGCCTCTGGTTTCTGCCCCGTCCCAAGCCACTCCCTATTCGGACTACCATCCCCATCCCGTGCTTTTCGCCCTTCCCCAAGCCACTCTTTCAGACTACAATCCCCATCCTCCCCAGCCCCCGTTTTCCATCTCGCTCCAAGCCACTCCCTTTTCAGACTACAATCCCCATCCTCCCCACCCCCGTGCTTTTCGCCCTGCTCCAAGCCGCCACTCTTTCAGACTACAATCCCCATCCTTCCCATCCCGGCCACTTCTTTCGAGTTTGCTTTAAAAAAAATCCTTCTGACGCTCCTGAAGGTGCCTGGCTCCGAATCCCATCAGCCCCAGCCCAGGATGGTGGGAGTTGTAGTTCGAACGGTTTGGAGAGGCGGCCTTCCTCAGAGACCCTTTGGGACCCCACACAGGCTGGGGTAGGAGAAGGGGGAACCCCCCCCCTCCCTTGAGTGCCTGGATCTGATCACTTTCTGTGGCTGGATCTGATCCCTGGATTCTTTCACTTTCTTTTCCCTCAGGGAACCTATTTGCAATGACTGCTTTGTGTGTATTGGTGATCATATCAGATGTATTGAAATTTATTTACAGCATTAACGCAAAGTGACTCTGTGTAGCTTGCAAATAAAAATCAAATGGTACAGAGAGAATTAGAATTTGGAATAAGCTCTGATATAAACCCATTGAAGGGATCCTTCTTGCAGGCTGTTCATTACCCAAACTAGGTAACATCATCAGTACTACTGATGTTATGATGGTAATTATATTACCTAATTTGGGGAGTGAAAGTCTGCAAGAAAACTACCAAGCTCAGAGAGCACCAAGGACCCCACAGTTCTGCTTCCTCTTCCTCCTGCTCCCTTCTTCCTCCTCCCTGCAAATTTTACTTTTTCTAGCACTGATGACATTACCTAGTTTGGGTAATGAAATGTGTGCAAAAAATAAACATGCTCAGAGAGCACCAAGGACCCCTCATGTCAACCCTGAGCTACAAATATTCTCCTTTATTGAAACCCATTGACTTATCAGTGCCAACAGCCCCTCCTTGAGGGAGATGGGCAGTCTAGAAACATATAGGTTTATATATATATATATAAATAAATATATAAATATAAATTGCATATAAAAAGGGATAGCCAGAATACTTGGTTTTGTTCTGAGACAATACAAAACGAAGTGAATGCTAACTTAATTTTCATTCAGGATGAAGTTGACCCATCACTCCAAGCGCTTGAATTCCGCCAGGAAGAGATCTTGAAACGTTTGTATGAATTGAAAGCTGCTGTGGATGGGCTCTCAAAAATGATCCAGACACCAGATGCGGACTTCGATGCCACCAACATAATTCAAACAGATGACCCTGTTTCTCTAACTGTCAGCTCTGCAGAACTCGATAGTCTGCTTGGGAAGGCAAGTCGGACTCTGAACTGTTTGCATTCTGCCTACTGAATGGTTTGGCAAAAGTTGGTGTGGTTTTTTTTTGTTGCAACAAATAAGTTGCAATCTGGCCAAACGTACATTTAGTGATACCTATGGAAATTCTCAGTCATCTAGGTCGTGGTTGTCCCAAAGGTGCTTTTTCAAAAACTAACTGGATTTTATTTTTCCTTGAAGACATTTCACTTCTCATCCAAGAAGCTTCTTCCAGTTCTGACTGAAGAATGGAAGAAGTTTCTTGGATGAGAAGCAAAACATCTTCAAATAAAAACGAAGTCCAGTTGCACCTTTGGGGCGATAGTGATTCTCCAAAGTTATATTGCAAAAGTATCAGCCAAATAGCAATATACTGTAATTTTGTCCCAAGCCAACACTGATGCCAGGTTTAAATTTCAGGGCTTTTAAGGAAATAGAAGATATACTTAATTATAAGAGAGGAACTTGTTTGCTTTTAATTGTTTACAAACAGTTACGTCAGCTAGCAGGAGCAAAAAGCTATTTAAATGAAACTGTTAGCGATAAATGCCACTTTGTATATTAATAGCTAGTCAAGTAAAAATAACTAGCTCCTTCTCCTTTATTTGGGAGTGTCATTTGAGTCTCATCTCCTGTTTCTGATGGCTTGGAATATCTTAAGTTGGAACAGATTTTCTGCACAGTTCCAACCTCTGCAGAATATTGTCGCCTAATTACTCAGTTTCTATCAGTAGTAATTGCCAGTGACTAATGGGTACTGATAAAAAAATGTATGATTTGGAATATTTTGGAAAATATTGCTTAGCGTTATTTCATATTCTAACTACTGTGTGTGTTTATAGGATGTGTTCAAATGTTGTGGTCATAATGTACAATTAATTTCTATGACTAAATCCAGATCCAGTTCACCATCTGTTTAGGACAGAAATCCATGTTTTTTCTTGTAATGTTCTTAGAGGCCTAGCATTTTTAAGCTCTCAACTGACATATATAATATCTGGTTCATCTTTTGTCACCTATGAGAGCTACTCATGTCACTTATCCCATTTCTACTCCACAGCTAGTTTAAGCAGTGTGGAAAATGAATAGGCAGTGTAGAACTGCAGTGCAGTTAATTTATGGCAAGATAACAGTACTAAACAAAAAACCCTGCAGGATGTTAAAACTATATGTGGAAAAGCTTTTAGGATAAAGTGAAAATCTCCTAACCACTCAATGAAATCAAGTTTGTTTTAAAGCAGGATTATGGTGCTCTGAAGGACATCGTGATCAATGCAAACCCCACTTTCCCTCCACTCTCATTATTAATACTCCACAGCATGCTGTGTGAGAAGTACAAGATACTTTCAACGGTTCACACACACTCATCTGTGAAAAACGTGCCAGAAAAGCTGCTCAAATGCTTTGGTGAGCAGGCAAAGAAACAGTCGCGTCACGAGTACCAGTTGGGCGTTACTTTAATTTGGAAAGATGGTAAGTCCATGTGCACTTACGAATAGATGCTTACAGAGTTAAGCCTTCATCTTTATTTCATTTCTTAATGAGAGAATGGGTCTTGATTGGATGGGCCCCGGTTGGAACTGTGTGGCTGTATATTTTAAATAAATCTGATGTAAGATGGAAATGGGGGGGGAGGTACTTGAAGGTAGATTTGTTGCTTGCTTGGGGGTATTTGTTCCTTGCCGGGCAATATATTCTAAGACTGGCAGCCAGGAAAATGTCTCCTCTAACTATGTGAGGTATCGTAAAACATGAGAGAAGGAATGGTGAATACAGGAAGTCCTTGACTTACAACCATTTGTTTAGTGACGCCTCGATGTTACAAGGGCTCTGAAAACAGTGGCTTATGGCCGTTTCACACTTATAACCATTGCAGCACCCCCCCCCATGGTCACATGATCAAAATTTGGACACTGGCTGTAGTCTCTTGGGGTCATGTGATCACCTTTTAGGACCTTCTGAGAAGTCAATGGGGAAGCCAGATTCATTTAACAAACTGTGTTACTAATTTAAGAACTGCAGCGACTCACTCAACAACTGTGGCAAGGAAAGCCACAAAAGGGGGAAAAGTCACTGTCCTGCTGTCTTGCTCAGCCACAGAAACGCTGAGCTCCATTGTGGCCGTAAGTCAAGGACTACCTGCATCCACCAGCTCTCCAAGCGTCCTCGGTGTCTAATCCTCCCTTGGGATTATCCTTCCAGTGCCAAAACCCCAGATGAAGTTCAGCATTCAAACCATGTGCCCCATTGAAGGCGAAGGGAACATTGCTCGGTTCTTATTCTCCTTGCTCGGCGCAAAGCACAACACAGTCGCAGCCACGTTGATAGACAGCTGGGTGGACACCGCCCTCTTCCAACTCCAAGGAGGAAGCAATAAAGAAAAGGCAGCCGTTCTGCGGGGCATGAATGCGACCCTTGGCAAGACCTCCTGGCTGGTGGGCAACGAATTGACGGTAGCCGACGTCGTGACCTGGTGCGCCCTTCAGCAGGCAGGGGGCACGGAAGCCGTCCCAGCCAACGTGCAGAAATGGCTCCGGTCTTGTGAGAACCTGGCGCCTTTCAATGCTGCTCTCAAGCTGCTGAAGTAGCTTTCTCTCCCATGGACAGGCAAGCAGATCCCACTTTTTCGACCTCTCTGGTTATGAAAGCTGGGGTGACATTTGGATAAATCAGATTTGAAAAATAACCAAAGGTGTTATGCCAATAAAGTTCATCAGAATTGTCCTTTGTAAAATGGTGCTTTTTCAGCAAGAAAACTGCCCCCCCCCCCAACACAAACACTTCCCGGTCACACCCACCTAGTCTTGGTAACCAGAAGGTTTTCCTTCTGAGACAGTTTTCTCCCAGTTTTCCTAATTGCTCCCATCTAAGAGTTAACAAGCCCAATCCTGATTAGCTTCTTTGGGATTAACCAAGATTGTCTGATCTGGCTACCTGCTGTAACTACAGCATTACTGTTAATGTCGGAAACACTAAAGCAGGGGTCACCAACCTTTTGGACCCCAGGGACCACCAAACTCGTAATTTTAAATCCTGCAGACCAGAGACCCTGGGAAAATCCCCCCCAAAATGTCTGCAGGAAAACTCCCTACCCCGTTTTCCTACCGATCGATCGTTCTTTATTTGGGATCACAGGATCCAGCTCTGTTCTCAGGGAGAGAGAGAGAGAGACTTTTGGCTTTGTGCAAGGAAAGCAGCAGAAGTCTTTCTTTCTCTCCCCCAAACTCTGCCGTAAATGAGTCTTTGCCAGCACAGCCTCTTGGAGCAGGAGGCCTTGCAGAGTCCCAAAGACTCATTTCTGGCGGAGTTTGGGGGAGAGAAAGAAAGACTTTTGCTGCTTTCCTTGCCTGCAGCCAAAAGCAGAAAAGAAAGAAGCAGCCTGGTGGCCAGGTGAAGCGCATGGGGCGAGTGGGGCAAGTCCCCCCACTCTACCCTTTCCCCCATCCCCTCACTACCTTGTGTTGTTTGCAATGCAAGCGACGCAAGCCTTGTGTTCCCAGGGGCCATGTGGGCGGCGCAGCCTCGTGTTCCCGCACAGCCTGGATTAATTGCTTTGGGGGTGACATTTCTCTGCGGACCACCAACATTTTCTTGCGGACCACCAGTGGTCCCCGGCCCATTGGTTGGCGACCACTGAACAAAAGGACTTCAGGAGTCTGTTTTGTACTTAGCTCAAATGAGAAATATACCCTTATAGATTTGGAATATTTTATATAAAAAAAATAAAAGACATGTTAACGGTAACACAACGACAAACACTTTTGGTTCACTTAAACAGGAGAGCCGAGTGGCTTAATTCTGTCTCTTTCGTCCCTCTCTTGTAAGAGTAGCTTAATTTTTTCTTTCAGCAGTTTGATTTCTTCTTCTTGCTCCAACACTTTCTGCTGAAGAACACAAATGACCTAAACAAAGCAGAGCAGACAATTATTGCCGCAGTCCCATATAGAGTAATGCCAGCACGGGAAGTGAACCGCCAGATAGGAAGGGATCACTTTTCTACATGGCTGGTCACTTCCTTTTTTTAAAATTAAGAATAGCCATCTTAATTTTATTTAAATTATATTCCTTTCTTTTTTTTTTCTTTATTGTGGTCGTTAACCAACACAGGAGAAATGATATTCAAAATTAGGGGCTATTTATCTAACTCACTGCCATAAATTATGACAATTATGGGCTCATTATCATAAATTATAATCATAAATTATAATTAGGGGCTAATTGGTCTTACAATCAAATTATGTTCAGGCTTTAACAGAATAGTAAGAGTTGGAAGGGACCTTGGAGGTCTTCTAGTCCAACCCCTTGGTGAGGCAGGAAACCCTAGACCATTTCAGAGAAATGGTTGTCCAATCTTTTCTTAAAAACCTCCAATTTTTATGATAAGTATGTGATAAGTATATGATAATTTGGATCATCAGGAGGACCGGATCTCGCCAAGGCTCACATTTGCTGAGTTATGGAAGAGTTCACTTTCCAGCAGCTGAAGGGCTGTCGGTCTCCGCGAGGATGCGTGGCTGGTCAGCAGCTTCACGTATCTGGCCTGTATCGGCCACTTCGCACAAAAAGTGAGCGGGAGGCTTCCCCGTCTTAAGCCCATCAGAACTTCCGTCCTCTCCATTTCTGTCCCAAACGGCTGGAAGAGTTCAAACAGGATGACGCCCAAACTGTACATATCCGACTAGAGAGAGAAGAAATATTCCGTGTCAGAACACACTTTTTTTTTTTCTCATATTTTAATACATCTTTTTGTTATTCCTGCCTATCAGAATTAATAAAGGGATGTGCATTGTACAGGAACAGCTATGGAGTGATTCTTGCAAGGGAGGAAAATTTTTCACCAAAGGCAGAAACTTTTCCAGGGTTGACATTCTGGGCCAGCCTGGCAATTTCAAGGCTGTGCGGTGTTGCTTTCTAGGTGTCAAGCCCAAATAACTGGGATCAGCCTTGTTCCCAGGGCTCCCTCTAAGCTTGCTTGGGTGTGTATTTATTTCTTCTGTATTTATTTCTTTCCACCAGACTTCTAAGGTGCTATAATATCATTGCTGTCATTTTGTAAGGCGCTGCAGAGAGCTCTTCGCTTTTTAAAGAGCGGTGGCGCTTGATATTTTCAAAGTTTATGGCTAAATGGTTTGGGAAGGAATAACGGTCGCTGCTTGCAATCATTCTGTTGTTTCTCACGGCTGCTTTGTTGGGAGCATCTGTAGTTCAATCATTTTTCACACTGAGGGTTTTATGCCCTTTTAATCAGTAGTTAGAATGCAGTATGGCAGGCTGACTGCCCACTGCCGGGAGTTCGATCCTGACTGTCTCACGGTTGACTCAGCCTTCCATCTTTCCGAGATTGGGTAAAATGAGGACCCAGATTGTTTTGAGTGCTGAAAAGCACTATGGAGCAGTTTATAAGCGTAACTGCTATTCTTAATATGTCTTTTGACATCTGAAAGATGGAATTTAACCGCCGAGGTCCTGTTTGTCTAAAAAAAAAAAAAAAGGGCCCAGTTAGATTGGAAGTTGGGGTGGCTGTACCTTGAAATCATAATGGGATCCTTGGAGTTGTTCAGGTGAAGCGTACAGACAAGTGCCCACTCCGGAGGTATGGATGAGCGCTAACCCAAAATAGAGGGAGAATGTTAGCATTTTTTAAAAAAAAAAAAATCAGGCATTGCAAATCAACAACCAAAGCACTATTAGAGTGGAATAATTACCATAATTATTCTCTGCGCTTAGCAGTTGGATTGTATCTTCCTCTATAATGTCTCTACAGGCTAACCCAAAGTCCCCTATTTTCACATGATGGTTAGGTCCTTGGAGAAAGATATTCCGGGGCTGTGAAAACAAAACCAGTGCACTGATGATGTTACCCAGCTGGGTAATGAAACGTCTGCAAGAAAGCAATGAAGCTCAGAAAGCACCAGAGACTCCTTGGGTTCTGTTCCTCCTCCTCCTCTCCTCCAACCCCTCCCCCCACTTTCCCTCCTAGCCCTGATGACATGACATGGTCAGGTAGTGAAACGTCTGCAAAAGCAAACAAGCTCAGAATGCACCAAGGACCCCTCCTTTCAACCCCAAGCTACAAACATCCTCCTTTATTGGTACAAAACAAATGCATTTGAGAAATTTCAAATTGCATTTCAATTAACACTCGGTGTGAAAAGATTTAAATCAACCGAAAGTGTCGAAATACAGCCGATGAGATTCTGGTGGTGAGCAGTGAATCGGCTTTGAGACGTCTTCTCTGGTGGCGACAGGTGCAAACACCCAGAGACCCATAGGGGTGAGGTTTCAGTCGACTACTTTATTGCTCTCTGCCTATTACACAGGACTCTCCCCAGTTTCACATGAGATAACTAACTAGATAAGGCTTTCAGGGAATTCGGACCTAGCTCTTGGGTGTTTACGTAGGGAATCCAGCCTAATTCCTCACTTGACCCCCCCCCTGCTCCGAAGGTTGCTCTCCAACAAGGGGAGAGGTAAGCCTGCGCTGAACAGGACATCTTTTTAGAGACCGCGCATCTTCTCCGTTGGCCTGAAGCCTTTAGATCTGTGAGATCATCTAACCGGTTCCAGAACCAAGCGTCATCGTCACAAAGGAACAATGGCTCAAGTGTGAGGCTCCCAAATGCCTTTTCTCCATGCTCAAAACTACCCAATTTTTTTTCCTCCCTCCCCTCAACATGGGTAACTTGATAGGACGTCCCCACAGATGGGAAAACGAATCGACGGACAAAATATTAATTGACGCGATTATGACCAACGACACCTCCATGCTTCAAGATTTACTGCCCTCCCATTCAGTTTACCAAACGGTCATCTGCCAGGTAAACTATCTACCTTGCTCAATCTAAAAGACTTAACAAATAGAATTAAAAACATAATGCAGGTAGTCCTCGGTTTACGACGACAATGGAGCCCCAAATTCCTGTTGCTAAGCAAAACATGGGTTTAAGTGCGCTTTCTCCCATTTTTTTAACCTTTTTTTTAACCCGCCCCCCGAGAACACTGCAACCGTCATAAATAGGAGTCAGTTGCCAAGTGTCCGAATTTTGATCACGTGACCAGGGTGCAACCGTTGTAAAATGGTCCAATGAACCATTGTAAGTCAGGGACTACCTGTACGTAAAATTTTATATAGCATGTCCAAAGCCAGTACTTCTGAAAAGAGGTTTAATTCAGAATCACAGATTTCATTCCAAAGGGTCTTTAAATGTGACTTTTTTTTTTTTTTTGATCTAAACATTTTGACAAGCAGTAGAATGATTTGTACAATCTGATGCACATCTAATTAAAAGTAATTTCCACTGATCAACTCTTGGAAAGTTAAATGGGACTTAAATCTAATTCACAACGTTATGTGATAAGGCTGTTATCTTATACACTTGCCCAGAGTCACTGAGAGTGAGACGGTGAGACAGGCGGCTCTATAAATTTGACTATGGTGATAAAATAAAACCTTACAAATACATTTGGATTAAGCCCTCGCTGAAAAAGTGAAGTGTTCTTTGGTCAATCCTTCTGATAGTTATTATAATGTAGATTATAGAATATTTTAGCGGGCTTTCCATATTTTAAAAACTACCAGCAAAAGGTGTTACAATTGAAATTTTCTGCAATCACTTTCTGGACACCTGAAAAGTTAGCCAATGTTCAGATCAGATCAGATTCAAAGAATAAGCTACTTCTTTAAGACAGCAGAGCATGATGGCATAAATAGCCTTCAGATGGTCTTGATTAAACCACGTCAAATCTGATAGACTAGCTCGTTACCCGTGCTTCGCTACGAAACTGTGGTCAGACTTTGTTTTTGGAGAGGAAGTAAGGGGGAAAAAATTCTGCCTCTGCCTACCAGCATCCATTAGTATTCATCTGGCTAGCGTCCTGTCAGTGTGTGAGAGAGTTGAGGGCTGTTTGGAAACTGAAACAGTACTTACTGTATGAGTAAGCAGACAGCAAGGAGCCTGGGCGTGGCTTATCTCAACTGTTCTGTACTAAAGCTGCTTGGTGCTCTGAAACAAACTCCTCTGCTTGTGTTTTGCATTTGGAACAGATTTCTTTTCAGGTGGAGAGGGGGAAATAGAACTCCTTAGCATCAGAGCATGTTAATAATAATAATATAGGAAATACTAATGCTCTGATGGTCATTTCGAAAGATCCTTTCTTAGTGAGTACCTAGAAGCCAAGAGGAGCATAAAATTCAATTTTATCGGCTTTACAGTTCTGGAGATTTTGTGATGATGCGTGAGGGGTATTTCACCTATACACATAGATTGCTCTGCTAGCTTATATGTTGCCAATTACGACTTTTATATCTTTTTCTCCCCAACCGTCAAAGGAAAAAGGGAGGTTTGTGCAAGACAATACACAAAGTGGAGATCCTGAAAGGAGGTAATATTTTAACAAATATTATAATACGGGATTTGGGAAATGCTTAACAGCAAGAACTGTACGATGCAAAGAATTAGGACCACCCTTTAAATTCCAGCCAATCTGATTTATGGCTCATTGAGGCAGTCCTCCATTTAAACAACCACAATGGAGCCCAAAATTTCTGTCGCTAAGTGAAACGTGTATTAAGTCAAATTTGTCCCATTTTACGACCATCTTGCTGCAGTTGTGCAGTGAATCGCTGCAAGTGGTTAAGTTGGTCACACAGCTTCCTCACTAACTTTGCTTGCCAGAAGGTCGCAAAAGGGGACCCCCCCAGGACACTGCAACCGTCATAAATATGAATCAGTTGCCAAGCATTCCAATTCTGATCACGTGACCATGGGGATGCTGTAATGGTCGTATTTTTCAGCGTCGTCATTGTGAATGGTGATTTAATAGGCTGTTGTAAGTTGAGGACTACCTGCACACAAGAATCTAGTTGACTAACGGTCAGCACTAGGTTGGCGCTAGAAGAAGAGTCAATAGAATTCAAGAGGGATTGGGCTTAGACCGTTTGTGGGAATGTAATGATTCTAGGCTGGTTCCTCTCTTGATTCCTCCACCCCTGGACTCTCTACTTGTCCTTTTCCTGCAAATACCCATTAACACTGCCAAATCAAGCTGTTTAGCAGTGAAGGACCAAAGAATGAGGTTGTCAACTCATAAAATATTCCTGTGCCTGTTTTAAAAGTTGCCATAAAAAAAGGAGGGGGGGGGAGAGGAAGGATATCTGGAAGAGCAGTGCAGCAGTTTTAAATCAAAAGTATATTCCAACTCTTATCTTTAAAAGATTGTAAGTAAAATACCAGAGCTTTTGCCCGCAAATATATTTAATTGGAGAATGTGATTGATGACACCCAGCCCACAAATGTGCTCAGTTGGAGAATGTGATTTATGAGACACTCGGGGGAGGTGGGAAACAGGATCACGGGGGACTGTAAATGACGTATGCCAGAGTTGGCTTTGTACAGGGCGGGGCCAGTATGTTGCCTCAATTAAACCCTTTGAAGTTTTTTGAAGTTGGGCTCGAGAATCATGATTTAATTAGGGCGATTGCTGGAACCCTGACAGAAGTCATATTTGTTGGCTTGCCTGGAGTTGATGTCATCCTGGATATCTAGACAACATTGTGTAGTTTACTCCCGCTGTATTAGATATTCTATTAGAGAGGAAAAGAACTTGCAAATATTTATTTTTTATCTCTGCCTGTTTAGCCCCCCAAAAGCAGAATGTTCCACGGAGAACCGCCACAGAGCAGAAGAAAGGAATGATGGGAAACATCTCCCCATCAAATCCAAGAAGGGCGTCAAGGCCACGCATGCTGACGTGGTTGGCCACCACGATCACCACCCCCTCCATCTGGCAGTAGCCATTGGGTGTCACCACCTAATCCCCGACCTGCTGAAGCGGGGGGCCCGAATCGACGATAGGACGAAATCCGGACAAACAGCTCTTCACCTGGCCTCCAGAACCCTCAACCAAGCAGCCATTCAGACGTTGCTCCACTGTGGAGCCCAGGTGAACTCCACCACTCCAACAACCCAAGAGACCCCGCTCCATCTGGCTGTCCACACCTCATCCAGCAAGGCCGGCATTGTCCTAGGAGCCGACGGGACGTGCGTGGAGCTGCTGCTGCTGAATGGTGCCGACGTAGGCCTGAAAGACTGGAAAGGCCAGGCAGCGCTCCACCACGCTTGCCGAAACGGCCGGGAGGACCTCATTCACCTCCTTCTGAGTTATGGAGCAGATGCCAATGCCGTAACATCGCAAGCGGAGTCCTGCCTTTTCCTCTTCCTGGAAAAAGCAAGCAACCTCAAGAAGGCCAACATTCTCTGGAAGCTGCTGAGCCTATCCTACCCAGTGAAGCTCACTAACGCTGAGGGCCGCCTACCCCAACTGTTGGATGACCCCCACTGGGAGCCACTGAAGGACATACTCCTCCAGGTGTCTTCCCAAGTGTGGTCCTTACAGGACATCTGCAAATTCAACATCCGGAAGGTCTACGGGGGAGACTCGAGGTACTGGCTCAAGGAGGCGATGCCCGTCGAGCTATGGGACTCGATCTACACGAGCCAACCGTTCTCGTACGCCTCGAACGTCGTCGAAAGGATTTTTGATGCCGGACGCCGCCAACCCGAAGTAAGCGAAAGGCCCTCGGATGCCAGTCCCCTCCTCCTTTTTCTCCTTAGCATGATCCCTGCGCTGTGGCAGGACCCACTTTTCCTGGGATGCTGAGCTGTGGTGTGTGTGTGTGTGAAAAATCAAATAAAACCAAAAGTGTTTTCAAAACTTTGTGTTCTGAGTCAATCCTCGCAGACATTGCTTTCAGTGGGGCGCACTCCGTCCGTTGGAATATTTAGAGAAGAAAAACAGAGAGGGATTTCTGCCTTGGAGAGGTGCAACAGACGACTGGAAGGTTGACTCAACCTTCCGTCCTTCCGAGGTGGGTAAAATGAGGACCAAGATTGTTGAGGGCCATAGGCTGACTCTGTAAACTGCTTAGAGAGGGCTGGAAAG